TTTTCGTCCTGGACCACCGGTTTAGATGCGAACACTACTGATGAAACAAGTGAGTAGCCGATGGTCTGGTGTACAAGTTCCGACCCCCATCTGATTGAAGGTGAAATTTATTACGGATATTGTGGAGGCGTTCGCATATTCTTTAACAGTCAGTGAAAGTCCAGGAAACTTCAAGGAGACGCATGAGTGTTCAGTTTAAAAAAACCACTCCGCAGATGATGTGTTTACTTTCGTAACTTGTAACCGGTTGGTTCGTGTTTTCTAATAAATAACCACGCAGTGAAGGACTTTGATTCTTTTACCTGAATAGGTTTTGGCCAAAACTTCAGCCGTAGCGAGAACTTTACGATAAGAAGACCTTCAGAAGATACTCCCTCGTTAAACACTCCTTCTAACAATGTACGTTTCTCGGCCCTGCGTACTTCAGTGCAGGTCGCGGCAGCGCGATTCAGACTGTTCTCAGTCGAACAGACCATCAGAGGCATTGTTAGTTGTAGTTGTCATGGCTGTACGAGGGCTGGGAGACCGTCAGGGCGTCCGCACCTAGACAGGAACACGATTAGGGTCGTCAACCAAAGCCTATGGCTCAAAAACCTAACAGCAATGCAACGGCGTTGGGCTGGGAATTCAAGTACATCACCATTTTTACGAAACCCGGGGGGAATACATGTTCCAAACCCCTACCTGGAAGGCCAGGAGACTGTGTTCGTCAGACATCTACCCATTGACCAACCCGGTACGAGAGACTCTGTGAGTGTCGCGTGGACATCCCCTGTGTAGCTCAACGGGTTGCCGAGGTACACAAACCGCCACACAACGGTCAGGTGCAGTCTCTTCGTGACGGTCCTTTGAACTGGTACATAAACAAATGATGCGCATAAGCAACCAGTTGTTGAAACCGGTAGCGTGGTTGGCAAACGTATCTAAAGGTTAATATCTCATTTAAATGTCTTTTGGGACTACAACGCCCGATCAGTCTGCGATAGGAGAGTAGTAGAAGCCAGCGCACCAGCGCCTCATCCCTATTTGCTCGGGGAAACGCTCATTGGAAACAATTCTGTGCTTCAACTGTCAGCTGTATTGTGGCGCACCTTAGCTAAGCGGTCACGTGTTGTGTGGAGAACTGAGGCAGTTTCGAATGCAACAAAGTCAGGGTTTTCGCAGTCTTCGCGTAACCCATGGTTGTGTTACTCGAACCAATGGCTGGGTTCGATAGAAGCTAGTGTATACTCACCTAGGCACTTGAATGGTAGTTATTCGTTATTGTGGGGTAGCCATTTAGTAGTCTCACACTGGTGTATGCTTGAATAACAGTATTCGATCGGATGTTATAAGGCATGATTTCGCACAAGTTTTCTGTTGAAGAGCGCGAATCTCGGAAGATGTAGATCGTGGAGAATATTCCATCATTATTTATGTCCATAATATTTTAATAAACAAGCCGCACCTCCGGGAAATTTTCCTGCATTGAGGCAATGACTGCGAACTATATTCCAGCAAGTGTACAGAAGACGAAAGCCTTGATACTGCAGTACAGTCTGCCACCCTTAAGGACACCACCATCGCCTCGACAAAATTGGAAACCATTTCTCCTCCTTTGTTACTCTTCGAAGAATCTGAATTTCCCAAGAACCGAGGATGAATCGACTCCTTCAGAATCCCTGAATGGTTTACTTGCGAGGAGATAGTACAACGGAAATGCCTTCTGACAAGATCTGCCCTGAATAAGTTGATAACTCAGCCTTTAGTTCGCATACAGCAACACTCATTGGGCAAATTTCAGCTGAAGTACCAACTTAAGGTCATCAAACTGAAGGAAAGGGAGTAACAATGAAGATATAATGCATACTTTTTAGGTTCCAGTATTAGGCATGGCTTTCGTTACCACCTAACCATCGCTGCGCTGCACTACGCACCCTAACAACGCCCTGATCTGGATAGGTGAAGAGAGGTTTGTAAGCGAGCTGCCCAGCTCAGCGAACAGACCGTCAATCATATAAGAATATATGCCCACGCTAAATTACGTGTCCATTTGTCACTATACAGGCTTGGATGGATGAGAAAACCACTAGGGTGTAGGTGCACGACCATCATATGTGAAGCACATCCGGCATATTGCTCTCAGACTCAATGCAACGACTCTGAAGGACAGCTGGTTACGAATTAAACCTCAATATTTTACTGCAGTATGGTCTTTATTGGTCACCTAACTACGAGGTTCAGTGGGTGGTATGGAGGAATCACGAAATAAGGATATTGCATCTGGCTAAATTACGTTTCTCTCCCGTTGTGATTTACTCCCCAACTGTCAAGCAAGCCACTTCTCCTAGTAGACGTTAATAATCCTAGGAAGGTAAGCATGCGTTTGTTGGTCCCGTGTGAAATTTGCCGTTTTGCCGTCCAAAGTTCCCAAATGAACAGTCAGTCACATCGGTCACATCGGTTAGGCTCAAGTTTCCTGATTTAAAAAACAGTCAAACTCGTGGTGTTAATGTCTTGCTCGCTGATATTCTGACCACAACACAGCGGTTAGTCTTGTGACAGCAGGTACGTACATCATATAAGACATATCGAGTGCCAAAAACTCAATGGTTATTTGCAAACGGAAGCAGCATATTGATGTGAGCGGTCAACAGATAATAAAGTCACGCGAAGTCATGGGAAGAAATTCTAACAGACATTCGTTGAAAGTGATAGCAGCTTGAGCAGTAAAAGTGCAGCTCTGCACAAGTTTTGATGATGAATCATAGATCGGTATTCGATGTGAAGCCGACATTCTGTTTCAGAGAAGGTAATCACATCTCTCTCGTCCTCAGGAAGCATTTTCACCCGAAAGCCTAATAGAATGAGGTATTTCGACAGTTAAGTTCTAGGCACTCCTTCCACACAACTAAGGAATTGACTGGCTGAGAAGACTCAAAACCGGCTCAAATTGTGGAAAACTCACAAAAACGACTCGTTCACTGAACATTTCTTAGAGAAAGACAGTGGACAAGCTCTCAAAAGATATGGAGGCGAGATGGCCCAAGTGGACAGAGCACGAATTTACCGACCGGAAGTTTCGTGGTCCGAACCAGACCTCTACCTCTCGACTTCCCCTGTCTAGGCTTGGGCAGCCTGGCAGTATCCCAACCCTCGGGCTTCCTTCTGGTGGCATAGTAGTTAGGCACTGAAAGGGTGCTAGAGCTGAACGCATAATAGATATGGATTCTATATAAATTATTACCCCACATTTGTCAAAAACAAGTGCGTCCAAGTCCGAATTCCTGTCTCCGCTTCTCTTCGCCATGTAATTAACTTACAATATGGTCGATGTTTATCGCTGAAACCTCAAGGTTATCAACGCCTCGGGTGCACTCGAAAATCGAGTGCCACAGCTGGTTCTTTTCGAACATGAGGCGACCCGCTCCTACATCTACATGCTAAACAACCAGAAGTGAAATACGCCGGTACAAATAAAATGAACCGACACATCGACCAGCTTGTTTGAAACTGCCCAGCCGATCCCTGTCAAGATTTGACAGGCTACGTCGTCTTTTTTGGTTCACAGCCACCTATTCAACCTCGGTTTAGCTTCTGTTTTACCCATGCTCAAACTCCAATAGTGATGCCACAAATCGTCACGTTGATTTGAGCGGGAGCAGGAAGCCGAAGCCCAATCGTTGTCGTAGTAATCACAGACAGTAGTGGAAAGTGATGCATAATTACCGTACAAACAGGAGAGCTTTAGTAAGAAGTGAAAGTAGAGGGGGATGTGGCTCAAAAGCGTTATGACTAGAAAATGGCGTCCAAGAGCGAGGTGCCTACATCTTCTAAAACCACTGAGATGCATACAAATCTGAGCATTACGTTGGAGAAAGACGCCATCAACGGAACTGATACAACTTGCCAGCAAAAAAACAGCAGACAACGACAGACAGTCCACCTAAGAAGTGACAAGGTTGCCATTGGCATCGGCTGTGCCATGCCCCGCAGAGTTCTCAACCATGTGCAAGGAAAATCGCGTTGACCCCATCCAGGAAGGCGCATCCAGACACGAAGAACCCATAGTGCTCAACTTGACAGTGGTCACTTTCACTCCGCATTGCTAAATCATGGCCCATGAACTCTTAACCAACAAGGATTAAGACTAGAAAACTAAGCTTACTGGAAACCCTTTGAACAACCTTGGATAAATGTGCTTGAATTTTAATGCTGTTTAGTGTAGCGGGCAATGGAATGCGGCCTGGCCATTTTGGAAATACTGGCTGTATGGCGGTGAAATTAATTCGCAAACTTTCTCCTATACGCCTGACACAACGTGCGTCGAGATAGTTCAGCGGCTGAGGCACGAACTTACTAATCGGGAGGTCATCATCATCATCAAAGACAGCTACATCAGTGTTGACACTGATGTGGTTCGAACCCATCCTCTGAAAGCCGACAACTCCTGTCTGGGTTTAATCTATCAAGCAGTGCCCCAGCCCTCCTGCTTCGTTCGGTTGGCGTGGAAGCCAAGCACGGTAGAGGTGTTGCAGCTGAACGATTTTTATCATTACAGGGCTTGCATAAGAGCACTGCTGCGTCATTAAGTACTGTATGGAAGAAAATTCCTGAACGCTGCGAAAACTTTGTGGACATTCTCTTAGGATGTTCAATGGGGGTCGGAAAGTCCAGATGAAGAGTAGCGGACGTAAAAATAAGGAAAACCGACGAAAATAGCCGCCTATTCTATCGTGGTGGTGATGCTCCCTCAAGCGGAACAACAGTACCATACAACCTATCTCCAGATAGTGAGCGGGACGAGCAACAGAGTGAGAGCATGGTGGCATCGTTGATCTCTAGCATTGGAAACCTATTCAGATTTCCAATACTGAGATGAGACTACAGTAAGGAACATAAGCACTGTGTCAGTTATTCCCCATATTTATTTTTTTTAAATTCTTGAATAAATGTATGTAGCTAAATGGTGTTCCTAAAGGAAATCAAAATAATGAACAAAATCTGTAGTAAACAAGGAGTCACCGTTTATTTCTGTCAAACATTAATTCATTCCAAGGAGGAGGTGCATCCTGAGGAGGCGCAAGATCAGAGGATGGGGACAACTCAAGATCAATCTGGCGTTTTAGACGTGCATCTGCTACGGTCTGCTTCGGAGCGTGTTTGACACTGGAAATGTCCTCCTGATTTCGAAGTAGCTTCTCGATATTCAACCCGACACAGCCCACAACGACAGCAAATGGGAGGGCAATATAACGGGAATTGAGGCGGAGGAACTGCAGTATAACAGTCCACATGGAAAACTGTTTGTGGCTGAGCTGTAGGCTGGAAAAAAGTACACAGAATTGGAGCATAATGTAAAAAAGTAGCCCAGCAGTAGCGCCTTATCGTCGCTTGATTACCATGCCACCCAAAGGAAGCACGAGGGCTGAGATAGTGCTACGTTGCCCAAGCCTAGGCAGGAGCGGTCGGGATGCAGAGGTTGGGTTCGAACCATGGACCCACCGGTCAGTAGATTCGCCCTTAACTAGTAAGTCATCTCAACCTCGTATTTTGTTAGTAGTAATCCGCAGATTGCTCAGCGGTTAAGGCGCGAAACTTCCGACCAGTAGATCTGTGTTCCGAACCCAAACCTGGTATTCCAGCTGCTCTTGTCTAGGCTTACGCGACCTAAGGTTATCTCAGCCCCATGCCTTCTGCAAATTGCAAACTATCTGTGCATCGAAAGGTGGCGCAGCTAACGACCTTCATTATTAATTAACATTAATTAGTCCGTATAGAGGTACTCTACAAGCACTAACCAAATAGATCGCTTTTTTCAAAAGAACAGAATCTTTAACTGTACAAGTCAGTTGATGAGATGATTTTGCAATTCCTTAACGAGATGTTTTCTGTGAGTGTGAAGCTCAGGTTTTGTTGGTCTTCTCCTTGTGACGTTGTATCTGGCTTAAATTATTAGTTTGTTCAGTTCACTAGAGACTCCATAGGGCCGTTAACCACTACAGATTCCCCAAGCGTTGCTGCGTATTTGGAAGATCTCGTCATGAGTTCCAAGCCCGACGGATTGTCGCAGCGCCTGGATTACGTGCTTGATCCTGTTCAAGAGTATGGATTCAGAGTGTACCGAGAAAAATGCACTTTCACGGGGTCCGTGAAATACCTGGGTTTCATCAATGATGAACATGGCCGCCGGCAAGACCCGGAGAACAGCAACGCTATCAAACGTATGAGGGCACCGATAGACGTCACATCCCCCAGGTCCTTCCTCGGTGTCGTCAGTTACTACAGTTCGTCTCTGCATGCCATGCATCGCCTCTGAGATCCACTTACCCAGCTACTTACCAGGGACCACAAGTGGACATGGTTAGAAAAATGCCAACGCGCCTTTGACTCTGTCAAATCCATGCTGAGTTCCGATTTGCTCCTAACCCACTACGATCCATCGCTGGAAATTGTTGTGGCGTCAGATGCATCGAACTATGGAGCGAGACGGTGTAAGTGGCTAGATCGCGAATTTACTGACCGGAACATCCATGGTTTGAAACCGATCTCTGCCTCTCGACTTCCCTCTCTAGGCTTGGGCAGCCTGGCAGTATCCCAGCCCTCGTGCAACCTTCGGGTGGCACGGTAGCTAAGCACCGAAAGGGTGCTACAGCCGAACGATTGGATTTGATTTGACTATGGAATCTCAACAGTGATTTCGCATGTATTTCCCAACAACAGCCAGGGAGTCTTTGCTACTAACCAATACCGCGTGCTGCAGCAGGTCATCAAATACCACTGCAATCAGTGGACGCATACCTGCCCAAAATACGAACTGGGGCATTATTTCAAACGGCGACGGACGCCTTTTACATACGGAACGCGTGGTCATCCCAAAGGAGTTGCAAACAGCCTTCGTGAATCAGTTTCATAAACAGCACCCGGAAATAAACAGGATGAAGGCACTTGTTCAGAGTTACGTCTACTGGCCGTCGAAGGACTCCCAGATCGAACAAGTCTCCAAATGTTGCCAGCGATGTGGTGAAGCATCGAAGTTATCCGTGAAAACCTATCCACAGTCGTGGCCGCAATCGACTGAACCCTGGTCTCGTGTTTACATTGACTATGCACGTCCACATGATGGTCAAGACTTTTTGATCGTGATCGATGCCTACAGTAGATGGACGGAAATCCTTCCAGTGAACAGTTCCACAACCGCTACTAGAGGCCTGGAACTCCGACGATTGTTCAGTCACTTCAAAACACCACAGACTATTGTATCCGATAATGGCAGTCAGTTCACATCGCCGGCGTTCGCAGAGTTATGCCGCGAGTGTGGCATAACTCATGTCCGCTCGCCGGCGTTTCATCCAGTAGGAAGGCCGGGCGGAACGCTTCATTGACACTATAAAGCGTGCACTTCGGACATCCATAGGGGAGTGGTCAACGGAAGAGATTTTGCAAAGGTTCCTGCTGGCATATAGATCAACGCCGAACCCCGACACGCCTGACGGAGTGCCACCACCAGAAGCATTGTTTCGAAGGAAGCTTCTAACAGTTTATGACACTACCCGGCCATAGAAAAGGCAGTTTAGTCACTGCAACAGAAGGATGGAGGAACAGTTAAACCACCATCACGGAGCGACCACGCGCTCTTTTAGCGAAGGCCAGTGTTGGTTCGCGAATACAGCGGCAGACACCCTACATGGATTACGGGACACATCCTTCGCAGGCGCGGAAAAGTGCTCTAAGAGACTCACAGGCTTCACAGGTTGATACACAGCATCAAGGCTTCCGCTCAAGTGTCACGGGTCGGGTTTGTTCTTGTCGTTCAGTGGGTGCCGTTCACTTGAAGGGCACAGGCAAGTGTGCCACTCCTGTTCAGGTTCTCAGTGCGGGAAAGTAATCTTCCCAGCACAAGGATTCGCATTGAAAGCGTCCAATGGTGCTCTGAACTAGGTAGGAGCGTGGAAAACCGTCAGAGGAAGGATATTCCATGCAGCAACTACACAAAATGAGGAAATTTTGCCTAATAAAAATGTGTGCTCTGAGCCTGAAAAGTTTCTTACAATGTCCCCGCTGTCTGCCGGGTCAACAGTGAAAGGCCTGCTAGCCAAGGCATAAATACTGTCTCCTCGGAGGTGATTTTTCAGCGGAAAGAAATCAAGCACTGCGAGACGCGTTTTATGGTCCACGGATTTAAGACCGGCAACCATTTTCGTAGATGGACACGATCAGTGAGGGTTACGACTTTCTTATGTCCTGAATAGACAACTTGATTGGCACATTCAAGAAGCGGTGTGACGTAGGCCCCATAGGGGTCCCAAAACGCAGTCCTGAGAAAATCTAAGTAAAACGGGCGCCGGAGAAGAGGTCGGGGTTACTTCCACTCAAAATGCTGTCTAATAGGAACCCATTAATCCAGCGTGAAAGTTCTCCTTGAATCCTGTAAGCCTCGAGTTTGTGGAGCAGCCAGCAGACTCGATTGAGTGCTTTTGAGAAGTGGAAGAATATTGTATTCGATATGACGCCCATGTCCTTAGCTGTCCATAAATACGAGAATGTTCGTCACGCGAGAAAGTTTTGGGAGGTATATGTGCTGCTCTGTATGTATCAGGTTGTTGGTAGTAAGATAATCTACGGAATGCTTCCAATCACTCTGCACGGTACGCTAGTGAGGCTAATAGGCCTGCAGCTGCCACGCGATAGTCGGTCGCCAGGCAGAATTGCTCTGCTGGTGAACGACGTTCCCTTTAAGACCCCTGGATGAACCTCGTCTGGCTTCAACGCGCAGAACGGGTTGATCTTGTACAATAGTTGAAGAATGCCTCCTTCGTTAAGACCAGGTCGATTAGAGGCCGTTCGCATTTACGCCTTGACGTGACGGGATGTGACGAGGTAGCTGGGGCTGAATAAAGTCTGTATTATGTTCTTTGTAGGCCTCAAATACCACTATTAGGCCACGGGTTGGTTCCCGTTCCTGTACCTCAAGGAGGGCTTGTTTAACTAATTTCAGCGCCGATGTCTCGTACTTAAACAGCACATCTTTTTTCGGGAGACGTCTAGAATGGTGGTTCGTTTTCTTATATCCCATTGGCGAGTTTCTGATTTACAGCGGTCCTGCAGTTTGCGAAATGCCAGCTCATATTCCTCTCCTGCAGTCAACTTTTTGAAAAATAGTTGAGACGTCCTCTTAAATTGGCCCAGTAAAGGGGATCCGGCACACAAACCAAATCCGGTCCACAGATGCGCAGATCCTGCTCACAAGACCGAGTGATTTGAGTCTAGGAATACTTCTGGACACTTATGCTCCCGCTGCACTTCCAGAAAATCAATCAGCTGCTCCGTCGGAGGCTCATTCTGAGCACCCATTGCGAGCACGGCGCTAAACAATCAGGATCCACAAGCCAGTGAGGCCGCTGCAAGCGAACCCCCGACTTAGAAGCTACGTGGAGGGATGTGTTAGGCGGAATTCCACACCGATGCCGCCTTGCCGCTCGCAGCTCAGCGCTGCTACGGTCGAGAAGCCCATGCCGCAGAAGACTGGCCGAAAGTCGGGCCGCCTGAGGGCCCATCACCAAGGTGAGCTCTGGTTGGTCAAAAGTCTGTA